GGTGACAAACTCCTCTGTCACCTCGTCCCTCGCCCCCAGGTTTCGTCAGTTTTGACAATCCGACGAGCGCTCAGGCAGCCATTCAGGCCATGAACGGCTTCCAGATCGGCATGAAGAGGCTAAAAGTCCAGCTAAAGCGGCCGAAAGATGCCAACAGACCCTACTGACCCCTGCTCACCCTGGCCCTGCGGAGAGGTAAGGGGGGGGACGGGGGGGCCTGGCCCTGCTGCGCCCTGCTGCGATGCCCCAGGGGACCTGGCGGTGGGGTTCGGCTCACCTAAGGCATCGCAGGTGCCGTGCTTTCTCCAAAAACGTCCTCGAGTGTGTGCGGGGGTCTCTGCGCCCGGGACAGTCTGCGTGTGTGTTTCAAACTGGGATTTGGGCCCTTCCCTCCGTCCCTCTCGCCGTCCCTCTCGCCGTCCCTCTCGCCGTCCCTCTCGCCGTCCCTCTCGCCGTCCCTCTCGCCGTCCCTCTCGCCGTCCCTCTCGCCGTGCCTCTCTCCGTCCTTCCTTCCCTCCATCCCCCAGGACACAGGCTAACGGCCCCTTCGCTGTTTTGCAGGTCGGGCGTCCCGCGGTGTCTGACGACTTTCCCCTTCCCCAAGTGCAGTATCCAAACCCGTAACTCTCTTTCTTTGCAACACATCCCGGAGGAGGAAGAGGAGGAGGAAGAAGAGGAGGAGGAGGAGGAGGAAGGTGATGGAGAAAATGGCGAAGAAGAGAGCCATTCTGGTCGTAGCTTTTCTTTTTTGATTTTTTTTTTTCCCAAACCGGTCTTGTTTGTTACTTAACGGGAACGAGAGAGCGAGGAAGACAAGGAAGGAGGAGAGCGATGCGGCGCCAGGGCTGAGATTCGCTGCCGGCCGCTCGCCGGGACTCACCGAATCCCTTGCCGGGAGAAAGGACCACGGCCCCGGGCGCCCGGGATACGATCTACCTTTGTTTTTTGTTGGTTGGTTTTTTTTTTTTAAAGCACTCATTTGCTGCTACAGGATTTTTCTAATTTCTTTTCTTTAATATTTTTAAAAGCTCTTCCAGTGTCTCAATTGTACAAGCTCTTCACTAGTCACACTCCTCTCATACCTCAAGAGAACACACTGGCCTCCAAGAAATATGATTTTTTTAGTGTGGCAAAACAGATGTACAGAAATACATTGTATTTAAAGCCTTATTTTGAAGTATATTTCTGAGAATATGTTCATAAAAATGATGCAATGATGCATTTCCTTATACTGTTCTCAGTGACATTTTGGATCCATATTTGCCCAATTTACACATTTCAATTTTCTTTTTTTTTGCCTTGTACTGCCAGGTCTGTGAAAACCAGCCTGAGATCTGAAAGCTTAAGCTGAATTCTTCCTCACTCTTGCATTGGTATCACTAAACACTACAACTAGGGTGGCAAATGGGGGAAATACAAAAATATCTATGTTAGGATGTAATTTTTCCTTTATAATATCCGCACGTTACTATTGTTACTTTAGTGCTTCTGTGCATATTTTATGTCTAATTCTACTCAGGGCTACATCTGTATCAACAGTGATAGCGAAATAAGAAGTATTTCCTACTCTACCAGCCAGTAGTCAACACTTCTGTTTAATAACATGGGAATTAGAGAAGGATTGCTTCCTGAACTTGCTTTCCGGGGGGCTTGGGGGGTTTTTTGGGGTTTTTTTTTTCAGCCAAAAAAAAAAAAAAAAGAAAAATGTGAGGTTTCGGCAGAAACGAAGCGAAGCGAAATAAACTTATTTTGTCAAAATCGTCACCTTGGTTGGTTCTTTGGAGCAATCGCTGCGCGTCCCACCACCCTAATTCCCCCGAGAAGACGGCGCCGGGGACCCCTTTTTGACCAGCTCGACCCCGGCTGGGCCGAAGCATCCGCCGGGAATTTGGTGAAGCCGGGAGAGGAGCGTGGGCCTCTCTTTTTATTTGCTTGTATTCCCAGGAGTTACCGTTTTCTGGAGGAATTCACCCCGGCTGCGGAGGGGAGCGGGGCAGGACCCGGCCCCGTGGTTTCGCCGTTCTTCCCGAGCGATGGGGGAGCTTCTGGAGGACGTTAGCGTGTCCCATGGGATGTCCCTTTGCGGCCGCACCCACGGACGAGTGACTTCGGTGATCGTGGGAAAGTGGCTTGATTTGTTTTTTATTTGGCCGGGGGGGGGAACCCACAAATCCCACAAAT